CAGTTCGGGAGGCCAGGGGCTCCCCTCACAGGGACGACTGTCCCATGCCCTGCTGTGCAGCTTCTGAAACCTAGAGCCTTGCACACCCGTTTGCTTTCCTGCTACTTCAGGCAGGATGTGAAATCCAGTCCATGTCTCCCCATCATGGCTACAAGTCGGGGGTGAAACCTTGTAATTTTTTTTTTGAAACCTTGTATTTTTAATTCAGTTTTCCACTAATCCCAAGTGCACGTCTCCAATGGACTTAAACGGTGTATCTGATCTGAGAAGCTCCGAGCTGTAAGTAAATCTAAGGCAGGACCTACGTCACCAGAATGGGCCTGGCTACCACGCAGCTAACTTAAAGCCAGCTCTTGAAAAGAACAAAAGCACTTACCTTTCTCTTTCCAGTCTTGGATCAGTCACTGTCAATGGAAGCATCTCATTAGAAGCCCGTTTGCTATTTTAGAAGAACGCTGGGATTGTGCGCTGCCCACGTGAACCGAGAATGGCGAGCCTGCAGCTAATTAGCAAAAAGACAAGCCAGTGCCTGAAGACACGCCACGTGCTGAAAACACCTTGCAACACTCAAGGCCCTTCTTCTTCTCAATTAACGATCTCTTCCCGATTTATTTAGGGAGGTCAGGAGCATCACTGACGTCCTGTCCTGAGCAGCTCACCACCCGAAGCCCCCTTTCTCCTGACACTGAGCTGGGGCTGAGGCAGAAGCAGCTCTGGAGGCCAGGAGGTGCCTGAGAAGTCTCCAGACCAGCGGATGATGCTCCAGCATGTGGGGCAGATAGGGTGCTGCTCTGCATGGGGATGGGGGGAGGCGGGGGGCGTGGGGGCCGCAGCGCAGGGGAAGGCTGTCTCGGGGCGTTGCCGGAGCCCACGCTGCAGGGGCAGCAGGGCCCTCCTCCTCCTCAGCCCTTCCCAGCGTTCAACAAAGCCAAGAGCCCAGTCCCGGACTCGTGAGAGGGATGCAAGTCCCTTGTCAGGTATGTGATTTGAAAATATTTTCTCCTCTTCCATGGGTTTTATCTTTTTACTTTCTTGATGGTCTCCTTTGAAGCACAAAGGTTTTTAATTTTGATCTTAAGAGCAGCTACAGAAGAGATAGATTACCTTCACAGGAGAGAGAGCCTGGCAACGGTTTCTTAGCATACAAAGGACGGCAAAGGCCCGTGCGTAGATCTTCAACGTGCTAGAAGGGCCCCCCTGCCACCCGGTAAGTCTCCAACCAGCAATATGGCTCTGAAAAGCCAAACAGCCTTTCCGACAAACAGAAATGGGAAGGGTTTTCCAGCAGCAGAATCAAGCTGAAGGAATCTCTAACACACGCAGGCTTCGAGCAGGAAAAGTGCTCTCACATGGAAAACCAGGGATGCAAAACAGAATAAAATGCAAAGAGAGTGGCAAATACATCTACAAACTTGAAACAAGAAGTAATACCACAGAATGTCTGGTGAGGTTAAAAAACTTAAACACACAACCACGCATGTGTTGGGAAGGGGCATTTGGCATGTGCCGAGTCCCTGGATCGTCCCCAAGAGTAAAAAACTGGTTAATGTCAGATAACTGACAACTATGAATGTTGTAATTTCTGGGGAAACTATCAAAAGAAGAGTCTATAACTTCCAAACTGCTAGAGGGCATAAAAATGAAAGGATCAGTAATTACCTCAAAAAAAAAAAAAGCAAGGAAGGCGAAGGAAGGGGGAAACACGGCACAGATAAAGCAGTCAGCAAAATACAAGGTGGCAGACCAAAACTCAATTCATCAGTAATTACATTTAAAGGAAACTGGATAAAGGCTCCAGTTTAAAAAAAAAATTTAATTGATTGTCAGACTTTAAAAAAACCATTGTCAAACTTCAATTTAAAAAAACTTCAATCATGCTACTTCTGGGGCACATCTATGATATAAAGAGACAGAAAGGTTAAAAGCAAGAGGAGCTCTGCAGCCACGTGCTCACCCACAGCTGCTGGTTCCACATGTGAATTTCAAAGTAGAGGTAAAGCCTGAAGCATCTTCAGCGAAGCAGACACTGCAGCCACAGAAGGATACAACAGTTTAGAAACTGTATCACTAACACCACAGCCTCCAAATGCATAAAGCAAGTGGATGTCAGTGCAAGGATAAGACAAATCCGCAGAGATAACTGGACCTCTTTCCTAACTGATAGAGCAGGGACATCTAAGAAAGACACCAATAAGGACGAGGAGGCACACACAGGTTCTGGGAAAGGGCCAGACAGGAAATACTGTAGTTTTTTTTAGGCCAAATGGTCTCTACCACAATTACTCAACTCTGTCCTCGCAAAACAGCCACGGACGACACGGAAATAAATGAGTGTCTCTGGGATCCCATAAAATTTTATTTATAAAACAGGTGGCAGGCGCCTGGGTGGCTCAGTCGTTAAGCATCTGCCTTCGGCTCAGGTCATGGTCCCAGGGTCCTGGGATCGAGCCCCACGTCGGGCTCCCTGCTCAACGGGGAGTCTGCTTCTCCCTCTCCCACTCCCCCTGCTTGTGTTCCCTCTCTCATGGTGTCTGTCAAATAAATAAATAAAATCGTAAAAAAAAAAAAAAAAGACTATGGATGCTGAAATCTTTATGAACTACAATGTCTGGGATTTGCTTTAAATCACTCTGGCAAAAGTGTGTGGGCAGAGAGAATAAAACTGGCAGACGTAGCTAACTGGGGCTGCCTGACAGGATGATGGATGATGGGACCCGGAAGTTCTTTTACTCCCTATCACACAAATGTTGGAAAATTTCCATAATAAAAAGGGGAAAAAAAGACTGTGGAAAATGTGGATTACAAATATTAGATTATTAAACAGGTCATCAGGGGGGCGCCTGGGTGGCTCAGTCGTTAAGCATCTGCCTTCGGCTCAGGTCATGATCCCAGGGTCCTGGGATCGAGTCCTGCATCGGGCTCCCTGCTCCGCGAGATTTGGCCCGTGGGCTGTGGTTTGCCAACCTGATATAGACAGTTGGAATACCATGATTCATAAACCTTACGAACCTACACAAAACACTGTCCCCACCAAGTGCAGAATATAATCTTTTCAAGGACACATAGGACATTTCCAAAACTGAAGCAGATGCTAGGCCATAAAGCAAGTCTCAACACTTTTCCAAAGACAAGCATCAGTCAGAGCATATTCTTTGACCACAATACACTGAAGCTAAAAAGATAAAATAATAATTTTAAAAGGCAACAAAAAGATATTTGGTAAAATCACCATAGGTTTAGAAATCCAAAACAGTTATCAATGGTGAAAAAATTTACATATTTAAAAATCCACTGAATGGAATAGTAACAAAAGGATTTCCGATCACAACTTATAAAGGCTGAAACACTTCAGCGATCAAAGGTTACACCTAAGTGTACGGCAGAAAATTTTAAGAGGCTGAAAACAATTGACATAAAACATGACTCAAGAAGTTAGAGAAACAAAAAGTACATGAAAAAGGAAGTTAATAACATAAAAAGCAGAAATGAATGAAATAAAAACTATACAGAAAGCCAGAAAGTTGGCTCTTTGAAAGGATCGATAAAATTGACAGTTTTGATAAGAGACAAGATAGACGCATGAATAACGTCAGGAACAATAACCCAATCCTGCGGGCTTTTTAAGACCAAGCGGGGTTTACGAACAGCTTTACGGCAATACACTTCATATGTAGCTGAAAGGACAAAGTCCTGGGAAGAATAATTGACAAAACGCTTAAGGAGATACGGACACCCCAAACAGCCGCAGCAGGAGTCCCAGTGCCGCCGAGCCCCCGAGCCCCTGCCCCTGGGGACGGCCACCTCTGCACGCGGCGGGCGACCTGGGCAGCAGGGCTGTGGAACAGGGCGACACGGCTCCTTCCACATCAGTGACATCAGACAGCGGCCTGCGAGAGTGGAGAGAGCCTCGGGGCAGGACGTTATTCCGCAGGCGCCTGTCGGCTGGGGGCTGCTGCTCCGGAGGCCACCCGTCGGGGACACTGGCGCCCTGGTGCCAGGCTCTGGTGACCTGGATTGTGAAGGGGACAGGGAGAGGGCTGGCAGATGCGGGAACGAGAGAGATGGCAGGCACGGTCCGCGCCGCGGGGTGCCCCCACTCGAGGTCGGACCCGCAGCCGGGGGCGGGGACCGCAAGGGCCACGCGGCCACACAGGCTCACGTAGACCAGGAAGCACAGGTGAGCCTCCCAGAAACTGCCGAAGGAGGAGCAGCGACAAGGAAGAGGCAGCCGGGGGGCCGGGGCACTCGCCACGGTGTGTTCTCCCGCTGAAAGCGTACTTACTGAGAAAGGCACTACTAGATCGCTGCACTCAGACGCTCCCGTGACGGAGAAAGACGGGGAAGCACGGAGTGGGGGGAGGGGCGGGAGGGCCCCATGGCCACTTGGTGTTTGCTCCCGTGGCACAGGCATGCACGGTCCATACAACAAGGGAGAGCCTGTGTCCAGGGCCTGGGCCTGGGATGCAGCTTGGCGGCCAGCCTGCCGTCCCCAAGGCCAGAGCTGACAGGAGGACCTGGGTGGCAACTTCCCATAGCCCAGCCAGGGCACGGCACTGAGGCGGCCCGGACCACCGCAGACCTGTGGCCGAAGAAACCCACTGGCCCTCCAGGAATGCAGCCACCTACGAGATACGCCCAGGAAGATGCACCCTGCCTTGTCAACACAACGCAGCCCCGGGGAGGTGGGGGGCTCCCATCCCCCTGCCTCTCTCAGCCGCGCCTGCCACAGGCAAGGGCGGTCCACTCTGTCTCCTAGCGTAGACATGCCCAAGCATCTCCACGGTGGAACACACAGCCTTTTAAAATTCTGGGTGTGGACTATCTACACAATCCCTGCCTACACTGTAAAGGAGCTACTACAGGATATTTTAGTAATAATAATAGCAAACTCACCGGGTGGTCGGTAATTGCCAGACCCTGTTGTAAGCATTTTCTGTGTATCAAGTGCATTTGCACAAAGGAGGCACGGGGTCCGGCGGGTAGACACACGTTAGACCCACCTCACTCGCTCTGGAGCTGTAGGTTTCGGAGATGAGGGGCTGCCCGGGGTCCCATGTCGTCTCCCTCCACCCCATGAAGCTCCTGAGAATCATGATGAGCACCATCTAGTGGGAACATGATGTGGGCCACAGATGCAACGCACACCTTCAGTTTTATATTCCCTAGCAGGCATATTAAAACAACAAGAAACAGGCAAAAATCACGTAGTTATATTTTATTTAACCCAATTCACATCCAAAATATTATCATTCAACTTCTAATCAATATAAAAGAACATTAATGAGATATTTTACATTCTTCTTTTTTTTCTACTAAATCTTTGAATGGATGCACCTTTCACAGTGAGAACACATCTGAATTCAGTGGGCACATCTCAAGTGTGGCCCCGTGAGACGCGGCCCCCGCGAGATGGGCCTCAGGTGCTCTCTCAGGCAGCACAAGCTCAGAAATGACATACTCTCAGGACTGTCTTCCACCCACTTCCCTTTTCCATTTACATGGTTTTTAGAAGCTTTTAGTTTTACTAGTTCTTTTGCTTCAAATGTGTCTATAATGATGAATTAATTCCTCCACTGGTTAGTAGGTACAGGGGGTTCAATATCTTATGTGTTTTCTCTTCCTAAAGTACTTCCTGACTTAAAAAAAAGCCAACTCATTCTTGGAAATACAATATAATCACAATTTAGAGTAGAAATTAGATAAAATTATTAAATACTTCCAATTTTCTTTTTCTTCTACAAAATTCGAAAGGAGAAGAAGAAACCAGTCTCTTTCTGGAAATAAAGGCATAATAAATGACAAAGAATAAATGATGAGTAATTATCATCGTTCCCTTTTCAAGTTTCTTCTTTTCCCAAAACTGTTCTTGTTAAGGCCGGGCGGTCCGCTGCTGGCCACAGCCTGGACCCTGCGAGCCGGGCCGTTGCTGGGCCACCATTCCGCCACTTCCCAGGGACCGCGGCCCCAGGGATGCCAGCATTTGCCGTCAGGCACGAAGCTTCTTCGTGGCGACTTCAGTGAGGGGTGGGACAAGAGGAGGTGAACCGAGGCAGGATCCGGCGTGGACACCAGGCTCGGGCGTAGCCTGTCTGACCCCGGAGGGTCCACGGCCACCGCCAACACCACCCACCAGCATGGACGCCGCTGCTCAGGGAAAAGGAACCGCACTTTTCCGGATTATGGTCCCGCATGAGCTTGGAGGCTGGGGGCCACGCACAGACTGCCACCACCAGCGTGTGCCTGGCACAACAGGTCTCGGCTAGAATGCGCTTCACTGTACACGGCTGAACAGCTCCCTTCTAATCCCCCCAAATCCCGGCAGTAATCAGGGCTTTACAAGAGCTCCTGGCAAATAAAGACAGCTTACTGTTATGGCTGGGATCATGTCCTCCCTGGATTCACACACTGAGGCCCTGACCCCCAGGGCCTCAGAAGGAGGCCACATCTGGAAATAGCGGCACAGCGGACATAGCTTGTGAAGATGAGGTCACCAGGGTGGGCCCTAATCTAGGGACACGGAGACACACGCGGGAAGGGCACCACGTGGAGAGACGGGAAAGACAGTCGTCTGCAAAGCAAGGACAGACGCCTGGACACAGCCACCCTCCCGGCCCCCAGAGGAAACCAACCCTGCAGACTTCTTGGTTTCAGACTTCCAGCCTCCAAAACTGTAACCAAACACTTCTGTTACTTAAGCTGCTAGGCTACAGTAGCCCTTAACAAACTGATGAACTTACCATTTCGAACAATCTCACTGATAAGAAGCCTCCCTCTTGTTTGCATTCTCTCTCCCCCTGCCCGCCCCCCACCACCCCACCGTGTCCGGAGGGTGAACTCTGCTGTCAAACCCCCAGCCCTGGAAACAATCTTTCCAGCAGCGGACAGACAACACACTAAGTGTCATGCGTGTCACACCCGAAATGTGCGGGTGTCCACACACGGGGGAGGCCCGGCACCCCTCTCCCCCTTCCCTGGTGGAGGTATGAGCGGGAGTAAGAGCACTCTTGTTAAATAAACCTGTCCTACCATCTGTGTGATTGCAAATTTCGAGGTTCATTTTCAAAAGGCCACAGGTGTAGATGTGACCCATACACACCCCCACGGCAGTAAGCAAACTTGTGACACAGGAGAACCACGCACACAGCGAACAGGTCGCAGCTCTGGGAGCCCGCGGCGGCGCACGGCCCCAGACGCTCAGGGCCCACGAGGGTGCACGCGGCCCCGTGGCTCCCACACGCGCCCCCGAGAGGCCGCGTCAGAACCACACAAGCACAGAGGGACAGGCGCCCTGCCTGTCCCCTCCAAGCAGCCATGCAGCTGTCCCCGGGGAGCTCATCAGCGAGCAGTCCCTGCTGCTGTCAGACCGGTGGCTTTCAGGGAGCAAAGATGCTACTCTGGGATGTGCTGAGCCATGAAATGATTCAGCAGCAAGGCAAAAGTTTGGCACCGACACGTCGCCCGGCTCTGGGATGACACACAGTCACCCCGTTTTGGTGCGGGCTGGCAGAACAGCATCTACTGTGTTCCAGAGACACGCCAGGACCCAGCGAGACGCTCCTCTGTAACCTCCATGCTTCTGCGGCCACGGACAACCCCCCCCCCTCAGCGCCACCCCACGGGGAAAAGCAGGAAGAAGCCAGCGTCAGAGGACGGGTGCGCCGGGGTGCTGGTCACCCGGGCCGGCCAGAACGAGCCTGTGCGGAGCTCATCCCTGCTTCCTATTCTCGCTCTCCCTTCTCGATGAGGCACCCACCAGCCCGAGTCACCTTCTAAGTGCTCTGGTCCTGGGGGCAGCCCGGCCAAGACCGCTGCACACTGCCCGTGTGACATCTTCGCCAACACACACGTGGTGCCTGCTGTATGCACAGCTCTTTCCGAAGCGCTTCCATAGTGTATGCTGGCTGCAAACCCAACACAGTCAGACCAACCCTCATGGTCTTTACCCAATGACAAGTGCAAACGGCAAAGGTCAGCAGCGCAATGTGAGCTCAGGAGAGTGGGCCACAAAGACAGTGTGCAAGGCGTGACTGAGTGTTAAAAGCATGCGTGCGGGTGTCTCAGCTCACGGGGAAGGGGACGGCTTCCCTAGCAAAGTGACAGCCAAGTTGAAGGATACCTCAGATTTCACCAGGCAAAGAGGGAAAGAGCGGTCTAGACGCAGGTGTGTGAGGGTCGAGCCAGAACCTGGCTCAGCAGGGAAGCCAAAGAACGGGTGTAGCGGGAGAAGGGCGTGAGGGAGGGGAGGTGGACATCAGCGGAGAGTCCCCGCAGGGGATCAGAGCAGAGGGGAGCAGGGACAGCCTTCGGGCTATCAGAGTGAACTCACTGGAGTAACCCAGTGAGGCCTGCCTAGAGGCAGGGTGGTGGGGCTTGGAAGCCGGGGGTTCCACAAGTGAGTGGCCGGGGAAGGGGGAGGGACACGGAGGAAAGGGGCCCCCCGGCAGGGCCTGGGGGGACAGAGGAAGGGTTGTGGGTGCCGGCAGGACGGACAGGAAAGGACCCGCTGAGCTCCCAGTGCCACCTGAGAGGTGATGCACGGTGTGCGGTGGGAGGTGCAGGGCTGGGACCAGAGCTGGGAGCGGCGGGCCACCACACAGCATGGAGACAGCCTCAGACGAGCCCTGAGAATAACCCTGTTCTGGACACCGAATAGCCTTTCCCTTACGTTTAGATGCTAGCTCCAAAATCCACACATGTAATCTATCGCACACTAAGACGTCAGCGTCATCTTTTATAAAACGCCTGGTATTACCGTGCGTACCACGTGCTGCATGTGAATGGCGGCTCTTCGGCCAGCCAACAAGCCTCACCTGAACGAAACTGTTCACATGGTGACTTTGCTGGTTGTCAAACAGCAGAGATCACCCCAGGTGGATGGATGGCAGAGGAGTCAACAGAAAGCTGAGGTCACCGAGGACAAATTCTGAGTCACATTTTGAAACTGTGTGTGAAACTTGTTACAGTGCTTGACAAGGACGAGCTGGGGAGGGAGGGTCTTCTCGGCTTAGACTCCCCAAGAGTACATGTGTCTTCCCGGGCGGCCTCAGTCATTAGGGACACCAGAGTCTGCGACGTTCTCTCCCCTTCCCCCATCAGCAGACCTTCTTATTAGCCAGTGACATCTTTAGAAGTCCCTGTTTGAGTCCAGAAAATTAACCTGGGGCGCCTGGGGGGGCTCCGTCGGTAAGAGTCTGACTCCTGGTTTCGGCTCAGGTCATGATCTCAGGGTCGTGAGATCCAGCCCCAGTCGGGCGCCGTGCTCGGAGGGGAGTCTGCTTGAGATTCTCTCCCTCTGCTGCCCCTACTCACTCTCTCTAAAATAAATAAATCTTTAAAAAAAAAGATAGAAAGAAAAACGAACTAACACATTCCCAGATCAGTCCCACTCTGGACTCCTGGCAGCAGCAGAACCTCTCCGGGGAGACTTGAAGGAAGCTACGGACAGGGCCCACCCAGACGTCAGCCCACAACGCAAATTTAAACAAGAGACTGGCTTCCGGGCATGAGAGGCAGCAGGGTAAGTGGTGGGATTCAACCCTCAAGAAATGTCTCTCTGTCAAAAATAAATAAAATCTTTAAAAAAAAAAAAAAAAAGAAATGCAGACTCTGGTGTTATTGTGATTATCATCCTCATTATTTGATATTATTAGCTGCTGTATATATGAAGTGTTTGGAGATAAAAAGGAAAGCGAAATCCATGCAAGGAACAGAATACTCAGCAAGAAGAGCAGCAGATTTGGAAGGAACTGAAGAGAATTTTGTTTTTTAAAGATTTACTTACTAGAGAGAGCGAGCGAGCGCGTGTGCGCATGTGCACATGAGTGGGAGGAGGGGGCAGGTAGGGAGGGACAGGGAGAGAGAATCTCAAGCAGACGCCCCACCAAGTGCAACGTGGGGCTCGATCCCACGACCCTGAGACCATGACCTGAGCTGAAATCGAGAGTCGGATGCCTAACCGATGGAACCACCCAGGCGCCCGAAAGAGAAGGAAAAGTTTCATGAGCTGGTTACACAGCAGACAAGGGGGGGAGGCAGAGCTGGGGGCCTGAAGAAACCGCCCGGGATGCAGCACGAAATGACAGAGAAGCAGCATGAACAAGGGTGAAGATGCCGGAGGGTGGTGCGACACAGCCTAGCAGCGCTCAGCAAACTAACGGCCAGG